TTTTGAGCCCTGGACACAGACAGAGGACACTACAGGGAGAACCTGAGAGATGCATCAGCCAGGGAGGAGTGTGTGCAGGGTGTGTGCACGCTGCAGCTGGCCTACTCCTGTGCTTCCTCCCCCTCCCGCTAGGTCTCGCTCCTAGCTCCCACTTTGCAACAAACTTACAGATCTATCTAGGGTAACTTAAAGGACAGGACATTCACACAGTGTGGGGGTGGGGGACTAGACAAAAACAAACAGGGCTTGGAGCAGAGAAATAGGGGATCGGGAAATCTCTTTCCATTTCCTAGATCACTCACAGTATTTTAAAGGTCTCCAATAGTATTAGGATATAAGGTGACATTAGGTGGCCCTTTGGATTGCAAAAGTGAATAAATTTAGTGCCCTTCAGGTCGAGTGTGGAGAGGCTGGAGGTTTTCTAAGAGGCATCCCAAGGGGGAATGGGAGGGTATATAGAGTGCTGAGTTTCATGGATGAGAGAGGTGAGGAAAAGGTCACTGTAGCCTGTAGTCGTGGGCGTCCCCTGGACTCAGGGAAGACCAAATGAATGAGGACCAAGCCATTCAGAGGGTCATCATCCAACTCAACAGTGGTCAAGTGTAGTAAGCTTAGCCTGGCTAAGCCTGTGGAGAGACTCCAGATGCCTGGTATCAGGCTTCCATAGAGGCGAGAAATTGAGAGAAAATTGAGCCCTAGGGGAGGGACTCATCCAGAGGAAAGGACTGAAAAAAGGCAGCTTTTGTGGAGGAGGGGAGCACAGGAAGGGATGCTATAACCTAATTTGGCCTAAGGAAACTACCTGGTTGTAGCTCCAAGGGTGAGGGTATGTGGTGAGATGAAGAGGGCCAGCCATAGCTTTAAAGACCATGGCTGGGAGTAACTCCAATTCCAAGAGTGAGTACTAGAGAGGTGCCAGACACTTAAGGGTCACTTCCTCAGACTCAGGAAAAACTTAACTAATTGATTTTGGTGTTTGGGGGTACTGAGCAATCGGTGAGCTGTAAGGTGAGTCTGTTTTGGGTGGACTGGAGATGAGGGATAAGGTCCAAGTGCAGCTTAGACCATGAGGGGAAACACAGGCACTAGGAGAGCCTATCTGAGTCACAGTACCAAATGTAAGCATTGCAGCTCAGATGGAAATGTATCCTGGCAGCTGGAAGCCAAGGAATACCACAAAGTCACACCACAAAACAAACCTCACACAAGAGATTTATTGGGAGGGAAAAAACCAGGAGGGTGGCTGCCTCTGCTCTGGTGAGAAACAGCAGCAAACTGAACAGGACAGAGGGCTTATATAGAGCTTCTTGGGAAGGGGTAGAACTTTTCAGGGTGGAGCTTTCCAGGATGGAGATTGGTGGGATTTCATGTCCAGAGATTGGAATTTTGCTCTGCAGGGTGGGGGTAGGGTCCAGCAGTTAGGGAAGTTACAATATTCTTTGGGTGGAACCCGGCAGTCAAGAGGTCCTGGGGGAGGGGTCTGGACACTTGAGTGACTCTAGGGGCTTACATTCTACAGTGTACAAAGATTGTTCCACAGCAGTATGGGGCAAAGAACCAAGAGCAGCTGACAAGCTCCATAATTGCTAAATTATTAACCTGAGCCATACTATGGATGGAACAGGTGCTGTGTGTTTTTTCTGGAAGGTAGAGTTGCAGTTCCTTGCTCCTCACCCACTTGGGGCTGGGTCTCTGAGGTCAGTTTGACTTTCTTCAGCTCGTATGAACTTCTCTTTGCAGGGGGCATGTCTTCCCTAGCTATCTGCTTAAGAGTAGATTCAATAATCTACCTCTTATAATAAACTTGCATGAGGATCAGAGGACAGATCCAGCCACTAGATTAGACATAGGGGCCAGACACTGGTGGCACATACACTTAATCCTATCACTTGGGAGACAGGGATCCATCTGGATCTCTGAGTTCAAGGCCACACTGGAAACAGAGCCAAGCAGTGGTGGCACACACCTTTAATCTCAGTACTGGGAAGCACACACACTTTTAATCCCAGGAAGAGACTGCAGAGCAGAGAAAGGTATATATAAGGCGCGAGGAAACAGGAACACTCTCTCTCGAGGCTAAGGATTTTGTAGAGGTAAGAACATGGCTGGCTTGTTCTGTTTCTCTGATCTTTCAGCTTTCACCTCAATATCCAGCTCCCGGTTTTTTTTTTAATAAGACCTTTTAAGATTCATGTTACAATCTGCCCATCCTTTAGAGAGCTGTTTGCAGGAAGAAGCACTTGTAGCAGAGCCTAAGTACTTTGATGTGCCCTACAAATATTTGCCAAAGGAAGAAATGATGAAAGTGAAGGGAAGGGAGCTGTGGTGGTTTGAAAGAAAATGGCCCCAAATGTAGTGGTACTATTTGGAGGTGTGGCTTTGCTGGAGTAGGTATGGTCTTGTTGGAGGAAGTATGTCACTGTGGGGGCAGGCTTTGAGGTCTCATATATCCTCAAACCACACCCAGTGACTCAGACCACTTCCTACTGCCTTTGAATCCAGATATAAGTAAGAACTCTCAGCTCCAGCACCATGTCTGCCTGCTTTCTGACATGCTCCACATCATGATGATAATGGACTGAACCTCTGAAAATGTAAGCCACCCCAATTAAATGTTTTCCCTTTATGAGAGTTGCCATGGTTGTGGTTTCTCTTCACAGCAATAGAGACCCTAACTAAGACAGGAGCCTACAGTCCCTACAGTCCTAAGCATGCTTCCTTAATGAATTCAGTTCTGCATTGTATCTGTTGATGCTGATCTCACCAATTGTCAGCATTTCCTTCATCATCAGCCTTTTTTATGTGGGTGGTGGGAACTTGAGCTCAGGTGCCCATGCTTGTGCAGAAAGCGCCAACTGTGTCATATCCTCAGTACCTATATTTTATTTTATTTTTTCAGTGCTGGGGATGGAACTCAGAACCAATCTAAGGCAAACACTGTTCCACTGATCCCAGCCCATAGAGACTAGGTGTATAGTAGACTACATTATCTAGTTAGGTTTGCTTAAGTACATGAGTAGTCATGACATTGCTAAGGACTCACTTCTCAGATCACATCTCCTTCATTAAGCCATACACAAGCACAAATATATACGTACATGTCTATACATGAACATCACAGATTTATATATCTATCTAAACACACACATACAGATGTCTATGTATAGAGTCAGACACAGATATAGAGAAAAATTTACATATCATATAAAACTTTTTGGGCGGTGAGAGGAGACTGGAAATTGAACTCAAACTCAGCCTTACTCAGGTTAAGCACACATCCTGTTCCTACAATTAACTTTTCTAAATTAAAATATATTAGTACCATAAAATTTATTCTGAGGGACGATTAGTGTGTGTGTGTGTGTGTCTTTAACTTGAAAACATTGTCAGTGGCTTCAATTCTGATGCAAAGAGCTTTAAGGTTGCTACATCTTTTTTGATGTTGTTTAGTTTTTTGAGACAGGGTTCCTCTGTGTAGCTCTGGCTGTTCTGGAACTCAATTTGTATACCAGACTGGCCTTGAACTCACAGAGATCTATATGCCTCTGCCTCCCAAGTGCTGAGATCAAAGTGCCACCACCGCTGGGAAAGTTGCTACATCTTTACAAGATAAAAAGCTCGAGTGACTGAAAATCAATGGCTAATGATTTTTCTTGGAACCACCACAGAATATGATCACAAAGCAAACTGCTACCTGAATCTGGACAGACACAAACACCGATAGTCCCTAAGAAGGTCAGTTTACCTGGAGCCGCTGCTGCTAGAGCCATAAACCGGCAGAAGCACCATAATGCTAACTTTGTTACTGTGAAATTCACATTTATTTATTTATTTATCTGTTTATCTACTTATCTGTCTATTTAGTGTGTGTGTACACCACAGAGCACATGTGAACATTAGAGGATAATTTGTGGGATCTGTTCTTTCCTTTGTTAATATCACCAATTGAGAATAAGACCACTGCCACAATTTAAAGCCAAATTTGCTGCAAGCTTTAATTAAATACTGGTGAGGTGTATAGGTTCCAGCCAGGTCTATCTCTGGGTTTCCAGAAAATAGCCCCTGTTGCTAGAGTTTTCCTGGTCCTGCCTGGCCCACGGTCAGGACAAATCTCTCTCACCCGCCAGTCCTGCAGCTGCTCAGATCCAACCAAGCAAACACGCAGAGACTTATATTACTTAAACTGTTTGGCCTCATGGCTCAGGCTTCTTGCTAGCTGTTCTTATATCTTAAATTAACCCATTTCTATTAATCTATAAGTTGCCACGTGGCTCGTGGCTTACCGGTACCTTGCATCTTGCTTTCCATGGCGGCGGCTGGCAGCGTCTCTCTGACTCAGCCTTCTACTTCCCAGAATTCTCCTCTCTCCTTGTTCCGCCTATACTTCCTGCCTTGCTACTGGCCAATCAGTGTTTTATTTATTAACTAATCAGAGAAACACATTTAACATACAGAACATCCCACAGCAGGCCCCGAATCAAGGTTTGTAGTCATTGGCTTAAGTATTTCCCATCAAGTCCAATCAGGGGCAAGCATATATTCTGAAGTACCTCCAGCCTGTGAAACCCCCATCCACATGTGATCAAGCACACCTGGTGTATATGGGTTAAATAAACTTGTTTAGGGGAGTGAAAACATGTGTCATGTTATCTCCCATAAACAACAGTCTCCAGCATTTCAGGAACTATATGTCTTTGGGCAAGGGGCTTGCAGATCAGAGGCGTTTTTGTTTCATGGATCTCTTAAGCATAGTAATTAAAACTTAAAATGTGGGCTGGAGAGATGGCTCAGAGGTTAAGAGCACTGACTGCTCTTCCAGAGGTCCTGAGTTCAATTCCCAGCAACCACATGGTGGCTCACAACCACCTGTAGTGAGATCTGGTGCCCTCTTCTGGCCTGCAGTCACATATGCTGTATACATAGTAAATAAATAAATCTTAAAAAAAAAAAAAAAAAAAAAAAAAAAAAAAAAAAAAAAAAAAAAACTTAAAATGTACCTTTGGCTCTCACACCTTCTGTCATGTAGATCCAGGGGGTGGAACTTTTATCATTAGGCTTGTCTGTAAGTTTCTTAATTCACTGAGCGATCTTATTTAACCATCAATGGTGATTTTGAATTACTTAATGCTGAGTGTGGGTGACACAAAACTGAGGAACTTCTAAGGATTTTAGGTATTTTTTTAGATTCAGGAATTTAGCTTCTCATTTTGAGAAGGTAAGAAACACTATATTGCTGCAAGGGAAGAACTAAAGAGCATTTTAAAACATACTTAAGTATTCTTTATAACAACAGGGCAAAAACTTTACCAGAGTTTTATCTTGATGGAGCCTCTCCCACAACCCTGAACAGCAGGGGTTTTCTCTGGGAACCTGGATTAGGCACAAACCACACACAAACACCTGTTTTCACAGAGAGATTCTTTATATTAATCTGGGAAGAAAAGTTACAGTGACTGCTTTCTGATTCAGGCAGAAAAACAGCAACAAATGACCTTGCAGGCGTAATTTTTAAAGAGAAAAAAAGGGGAGCTCTGTGTTAGAATGGGGTAGGATGCACATTTTGATTGGGCCTGTTAATTAGGTGAGCCAAAGGGGGCTCTTGATTGCTAGACTTCAGTACTTTGATAGCTGGATCTTGTTAGTCAGCCTCAGGAGGAGGAAGTGGTAAAATAAGGGAACAGACCTTGATGACTAGCTTTAGGAATGTACTCTAACAGTTTTTAGCAAGACAGAGGGAGTCGGGGAGAAGGGCGGGGCCTGCCAGAGCCACGCTCCCACACTCAAGCCAGCCAGAGTCCCTTCATATCTAACTTAGGGAAGGAAAGTACATATATGTAGCCCCTCTTATCTTCCTGTGTCACCTAAATGCTAAGTTCCTCAGGGAAAAGGAACATGGTGTATACCAGAAACCTGAATGTGCATTAAGAAACAAACATAGTCAAGAAGCCATGCCTTAAAATACTTCCCTTTACTTTTCTTATTGGCAATTCATCTATTACATAACTGTTCCAAGCTATCGTGGTTAAGGGAGCATACTACTCTTGTAGAGGACCAAGTTGGCTTCCTGGGACCTATGTAAGTAAGGTGGGCCACCACTGCCTGTAACTCTAGTTTCAGTGGATCCCATGTCTCTGGCCTTTAAGGACATCAGCACTCATGTGCACATACGTCTTATGCATATAATTTAAAATAATAAGGAAAAACTGTAAAGGGAAAATGTTTTAATGAAATTCATTATTTTTCCAAGCTAAAATTAATTTTAAAGGATATTTGTAAATTTTTAAAATCTAGAATAATTACTTTAAAAAATTATGGAACTTGTTGCAAATTTGTCATCTTTGGTAAGTATTGGATCCCTAATTATTGGGTATCCTCTACCAATACAATAAGCCAAATCAAACCAAATTAATTTAGTAAGACCGGATTTAATAAAGGCAGGAGAGTAATCTCACAGCAGGTCTGGCAACCAGGTCTTAAATACCTTGTAGGCGTGGTCTTGAGCAGCCCTTGTGGGAGGAGCCCTTGGTGGGCTTTCTGAGGGGCAGGGTCTGGAATGGGAGGAGTGAGACCAGAGTGGAGATTCCCAGCAACCTTTACTTAAGGGCTATGCCCAACTTCTCTGTTTTGTTCCAGTTTTAGTACATATGGTACCGAAGCAAATGCTTGTTTTTGTTTTTGAGACACTGTCTCACTTTGTAGCCCTGGTTGGCATAGAATTCACTAAGTAGATTAGGCTGGTCTTGAATTCACAAAGGTGTCTGCCTCCCGCTCCTGCCTCTGCCTCCCACCATGCCTGGCTTCTTTGTTCTTGGGTGAGGTGGTGGGAGGGTAGAAACAGGGGTTCACAGTGCAACCCTAGCTAGTCTAGAATTCTAACTGATCTGCCTCTTGCCTCCCATGCCGAGATTGTAGCCCTAGGTCACCATGGCTATCACTAAAAAAATTTAAGCTGTAAAATTTTGATATTCTGTAGGAGGAAAGAAACAAGAATTATATACAATGTTCAGCTAAAACCAGAAAAGGCTGAAAAAGAGGAGAAAAGCAGCAAAGTGCAAACACAATTAATTTAAAGTGGATGTTAAACTGTATTATCTAAATACAGCAATTAAAAGACAAAAGTTGTCAGGTGGCTCACAAAATGAGACCTAAACTATATGTTGTCTAAGACAAACTCCTGGTAAAAAGTTGGGGGTAGGGGATGGGAAACCTGGTGGAATCCCAGCACTCCGGAGGCAGAGACAGGTGGATCTCTGAGTCTGAGGCCAGTCTGGTTTACAGAGTGAGTTCCAGGACAGACAGGGCTACACAGAGAAACCCTGTCTCGAAAAACAAAAAACCAAAACCAGGAGCTAGCATATCTGGAGGGCTCCCTGTGAGTTGGCCTTGGCACAAGTCTGGCAGGAGGGATGGACCTGTCTAGGGACTGATCCACCAGGCCAGATTTCTTGATACAGTAGCACAAGTCTTTCCCCAGGAAGCTGCAGGTATCTGTAAAACAACTGGAACAGATTCATATCTTGGTATCATAGCAAAAGGCTATGGCTTCGGGTTAAAAAGTATGAAAACTTTTCCTAGGGCCTGGTTTCAGCCCAATGAAACACACCTTTAAGTCTATACTTAAGAGGACAACCAGAGGAAATTTACTGAATGGAAGTGGGTAAGTTAGTGAAGGAGGCCTGAGGGAGGGAGGCTAAGGAGTGAGGGAGGAACAGAGTTGAATATCCCTGCAGGCTTCCATACTCTCTCTAATGCTAACCTGTCTCTAAAAGCTGAGACCAGTGAAATCCACAGGAATTTAAGAACTTCTGAAAACTGTTTGTAGTCAGCACTCTATCAGTTTATAAGTACCCTAGTCATCAAACGCCACCACATCTGAGAAGGATAAGTAAGAAGGGAGACAGCTTTCCAGCTACCCAGGCAGTCCCAGGTTTCTCCATGGTCATTAGGGGACAGAAGTCCCAATGTCTTCAGCTGCCAAGTCCAGAAGATCTGACAGACGTTCCTGTGGGGTAGGAATTTGGGGAGAGCAACCTACCTTATTTTGGCAAAGTGGGGCAATCGATCCCCCAGTGTCCTGTTGTCCAGTCTGGGCAGGGTCTTGGCAGAGGTTGAGATGTAAAGCAGTTGTCTGCTCCATGTCTGGCTTTGCCACATTTAAAACAAGCTTCCAGGTAGAAGTTCTTCTGTGACCTTCCATCTTTCTTGGAGGAGATACAGGATGTAGACAGGTACTGGCATGTCTCCATTTTTATTAAAATGCCATATTCTCAGATCCCTGAAGCATTTGAGGATCAGAGTATCTGTTAGGTATATCTGAGTTAGACAAATGTTTTTTAGGCCTGACTTAGTTTACCCAGTTAGCTGCAGCTTACCAATGTCAGTAAAAGCAAGAAGATTCGAGGGAATATTTCAGTCTCTAGTTTTCAGCTGTGGGCCTAAGATACAATCATAAGGCAAAACCAAGTTTTAACACTGCAAACAATTTAATGTTTTCAAAATCAATACTAAGGGAATATCCTTATGCTATAAAATCTGACTGCCAGCAAGATACATCCCTGTACACGAATGCATGGAGGCGCAGCTTTAATACATCAGCAAACCAGCATTGCTTTAAATCCTATCTTCCATAAACCTTGTTTTTAGGATAGGACAGGAATTATCACACAGAAATCTATCCGAATCCAAAATAACTTGGAGACCTAATGTCTCCTGGTGGACCCATCTCCACGTGGTCACCTCTATCTAAGATGGCAGTGAAGTCACATGACCTCCCTCTTACATAAATGGTGACTGCCCACACGTTATTAGGTAATGACAGACCACGTGTTGTTCCTAATGGTGGCTGCCCACATGGTTGTTTTCTAAAGCAGTTTAAATTTGGAGTTACCAGTTTTTAGTTAACTTTTGTTACAGATTTTTAACCCTACCCAATTTCTTTGCTGTTTTTCTTTGTAACAAGGTAGAACAGCATAAAACAACCTTCTTTGTCATCACATTCTGAGCTAAGTCTGCTAGTTGTAGTAACAGCTGAGCCAAGACACAGAATATGAAGACCCAGGCATCCAAGACCAGGTAAAAGCAAGCATGCAGTGGCCACATTATCATCCATACATTTTCATCCATCACATGAAATAGACGGGACTTTTTAACAGAAAGATGAACAAAACTTTTCCTGGGAAACCGTGTCAGATGATCAACTTAAAAATCCTAAAATGGCTGGGCTGCCCAGATTGAAAGAAAGCCTGGATGATCGAGTGGGAACAGTGAGTAGAGGATTTGGAAGAAGAGATTTTCTGGAGGGCAGGCAGGAACAAACAAGGAGAAGGGATTTGGTACAGGTGGAGCGGGCAGGTGGAATTACAACATGGTAATGTGGGAAAGCAGACAGAACAGGCAAAATCAAAGTGGGCATCCCTTTGGTGGGCCCTGCCAAAGGAATGTCACTAAGAGAACACATGAAAAGCTGGCAAGCAGATGAGCAGGGAACAAGGGCGGGGGTGGAGGTGGGGCCGGAGATATTATGATAATGATGATGGTGATGATGATGATGATGTTGGGAAACGCAGATAGACAGCAAGAGCGGGAGGGGGCAGGAGTGCAATGCTCACTCATAAACCTGGATGAGGCATATGGTGCAAGACAACCCCTATCTGAATAAATTTCAAACTTGGACCCTGGAAGCTTATGGACCTGCTAGCCTGTGATACATAGCAGCAAAACCAGTAGAAGGTGATCACCAACTCCCAAGGTTGTCCTCTGACCTCCACACAAGTCATCATTCACACACACACAAATGTGAACACACACATCATACATAAATGAATGTGTACACAGATTAAAGAAATCACATTCATGGCTCAGTGGGCAAGGGCCCTTGATGCCAAGCCTTATAACCAGGGTTTGATCCCCGAGTCCTACACAACTGAAGGAGAGAACTGACTCCCAAAAGTTCTTTGCCCTCCACACCCATACACATGTTTACACCTACACTCTCCCCCCGCCCCCCAAATTGTTTAAAAAGTTTTAGGCCTGGTGTGGTGGCTCAAACCTGTAACCTCAAGCACTCAGAAAACAGAGAAGGTAGTTCTTTTGAGTTTGAGGCTAGCCTGGTCTACAGTGTGTGTTCCAGACACTAGGGCCTACATAGTGAGACCCAGGTTTAAAACAAAACAAACAAAACCCGACAAATAGCCTCACATTTACCAAACCTTACTTCCAACCTATACATTCTAAGTTTTACAAATTAAACTTTATTTTTTAATGATTTATTTATATTTTATGTGCATTGGTGTTTTGCCTGCATGTATGTCTGTGTGAGGGTGTTGGATCCCCTGGAACTGTAGTTAGACAGTTGTGAGCTGCTGTGTGAGTGCTGGAAATTGAACCTAGATCCTCTGGAAGAGCAGTCAGTGCTCTTAACCACTGTGCTATCTCTCCAGATCTCAAATTAAACTTTAATACCCAAGATAATTTACCTTTACACTGATGACGTGACAAAGAACAAGTGATCTGAGTTGCTAAGCAAATATGGCAGCCATTAGCCAAATGTGCTAATGAGCACTGGAAATATGGCGAGCCCAAATTAAGATCTATTGTTTTGTTGTTTGTCTTGCATGTGTCTGTGTTTACATGAGGGTAGGTGCAACATGTGTGACTGGAAGCCAAAGTCCACGTTAGGTGTTTTCATCAGTTGCTCTTGCTGAACCTGGGGCTCACCAGGACTGACTAATCTAGTTGCCCAGCTTGCCTTGGAATCCTGTCTGTCTCCCCGAGTGCTAGGATTATATGCAGCTGCCACAACTGTCTGGCTTTTACATGTGTTCTGGGGACCTGAACTCCAGGCCTCACTCGGCATAGTCAGCCCTTTATTCACTGAATTGTTTCCCCACCCCAGCATGCACTTTAACCATAACTAGATTTTGAGTACTTAGCACAAAAACAAGAAAAAAGACAATGTAAAATGTTACGAGTTAAAATGACATTTTGGATATATTGAGTAAATTACATGCAATTAATTTCACTTTTCATGTGGTTACTGGAAAATTCTCAGGTACACAGCCCCACTTCTTTGGCTTTGGGTGCCAGTTTCAGTTATTTGTAGTCAACCATTATCTGAAAGTTCAGTTCATGCAGTAAGACACTGTGGGAGGAAAGAATATATTCATCCAAATCTTGTAATATTATTAAAATTGTTCCATTTTCTTATTATTTTTTTCTTTTTCTCGAGACAGAGTTTCTCTGTGTAGCTCTGGGTGTCCTGAAACTTGCTTTGTAGAACAGTCTGTCCTCAAACTCAGAGAGATCCACCTGCCTCTACCTCCCAAGTGCTGGGATTAAAGGCGTGTGCCACCACCGCCTGGTCCATTTTCTTATTTCTAATCTAACTGTGGCCTTATGTTTGGAAAAGAAAAACAAACAAACAAACAAACAAACAAACACCACAGTATCTAAGGTCACTGCCATCCAAAGCTTCATGTACCTATTTGGAGTCATGAAATATAGCCCTGTGGATAGTACTGCATATGGTTCACATTACATTTCTCTTGGGGATAGCTGGTCTGAAGAAACATGCTTCTGATGGGGCCAGTAAATGCATACCAGGAAGTAAATGCATACCAGGAATCAATTTCTTCTGTCCTCTTTTTACATACAGGTGAGTTTTCAGGGGTTTTTAGCACAGGTGGAAAAATCACAACACAAAGTCAGCATTGCACTCTCCCAAGACACCACCACAGTAGGGGCCCTCTAAGCAGCATTCTCAACCTGTAGGTCTTGACCCCCTTGTGGGTCAGAAGAATCTTTCACAGTGGTCACATAAGACCATCAGAAATATCAGATATTTATATTGTGATTCATAACAGCAAAATTACAGTTCTGAAGTAGCAATGAAAGTAATTTTATGGTTGGGTGTGGTCACAACATGAGGAACTATATGAAAGGGATGCAGCATTAGGAAGGTTGAGAACCACTGATCTAGAGTCTAGACATTCTCACAGCTTCTAACTACAGTGAAAGAGGAAGTTTTTTGTTTTTGAGACAGGGTCTTTCAATGTAGCCCTGGCTGTGGCTGTCCTAGAATGTACTATATAGACAAGGCTGGCCTGCAACTACCTCTGCCTCCACTATGCCTGGCTAGGGAGGAAGTTCTTAATTTCAATAGTTAAGTCTTTCTGGAGAATACATTTTCAGTACAAAGTGAAGTGACACAGCTTTAAGCCTGTTTTGACTAAACCTGTGGATGTTGGTTATCTAGTAGATAAGTGGATAAGTAAGGGTGGACAGAAGGGATAAGAGGTGATCCCAGAGGAAGACAGAAAAGCAGCATGGAAGCAAAGTGAGTTTAAGGAAGACTCCTAAAGTGAGCTCGCTCGCTCGCTCGCTCGCTCGCTCGCTCGCTCGATCTCTCTCTCTCTCTCTCTCTCTCTCTCTCTCTCTCTCTCTCTCTCTCTCTCTCTCTCTCTCTCTCTCTCTTTTAGTTTTGAGACAGAGTTTCTCTGTTTAATAGCCCTGGCTGTCCTGAAACTCACTTTGTAGACCAGGCTGGCATTGAACTCAAGAGATCCACCGGCCTCTGCCTCCTGAGTGCTCGGATTTGAGTAATATCTATTTCAAGTGGGAAATTCTGAGCCCTAGGATCTAATTACAATTGAATCTCACTTGCACAGTGCTGTACAGGAACTCAATGTACTTGCCTTTAGTCATCAGGTAAGACCTACCCTGAGTCTATGTGTCTCAGCCAAATGATTTGTTAACTAGGGCACTGCTATCCAACATGAAGTCACTGCTTACATATCTGATTGTGAAGGGGTGAATTGTAGCTGATGGGACTGAGGAACTAAGGTTCCATTTCAGTAAGCTCAGGTTGAACTACATATGGGCAGTGGCCACTATGCTGGCCAGTTTGTCTCAAGCCCATTACTTCAGGTGTGTGCAGACTAGCAGCACAGACACCACTGAGAGTTGGTTAGAAATGCAATCTCAAGTTCTAGCCAGACATCCCAGACTGTAGGAAATAATCTGCACTTTAAGATTGAAAATCTGGAAAGCAGCCACCTAGAGCAGGGGATCCAAATGCACTAAAGCCTGAAATTATATGAAAGTTTGCAAAAATGTCAATGTATAACTCTCTCTTCTCTGGAGGCAGTGTCTATAATTTTCCCTTATTAGATTTTCCAAAGTGTTAATAATCACAAACCAAAAACTTCTATCCTATGGGAATGTAGCACCATGAAATGAGAAAGGCAATTTCACTGAATAAAGAAAAAAGCTTTGTTA